GTGATAAGTCCCATGGGGTGTGGCGAATCATGTTTTAAGCCTCTGATTATGTCATAATCCACTAATATCCTATTGGCCAAAACAAGTCACATGGCCAACCCCGAATCAAGAGATGGAGATGAGTACTCTGCCCAGGGTGAGCCTGTGGCAAGTCGTGGAAGTAGACACCACCACGGGGGAGTGGACACTTGGGATCCCTGATTCGATCTGTTGCACTAGGTGGATATTAACACCCCCGTCCTCCCGAGGATCATGATCCTCCCACTTAGAAGCACTAGTTTAGTACATATCCTTCCACTGTTTTTTTTTTTTTTAAGATTTTATTTATTTATTTGAGAGAGAGAATGAGAGAGAGAGAGAGCACATGGTGGGGGGAGGGTCAGAGGGAGAAGCAGACTCCCTGCTGAGCAGGGAGCCCGATGCGGGACTCCATCCCGGGACTCCAGGATCATGACCTGAGCCGAAGGCAGTCGTTTAACCAACTGAGCCACCCAGGCACCCTCCACTGTTTTATATATAGAATTTTAACCAAATTTGGCTTAGATTCTATTTTTTAAATCCCTATAGAATTTTTTTTTTTTTTACCAAATGGGCTTAGATTCTATTTCTTAAATCCCCGCTTTTTTTTCACGTAACTTTACATCCTATATTTTTCCTCATACTATTTTTGAAAATCTGTAACAAAGGCTGCAGAATTATAAAATCATTAAGTTTGGGCATTATTTATTGAGCTCTTCCTCTAAGATACTTAGGTTGTTTCCAGTTTGGTTACTATAAATAACAATGTGGTGGACATCTTTGTCTAAACGCTCTGCTGGCATCTGTAACGGGCATTTCTGGGTTTTGCACGCCCAGCATCAGGTGCCATTCCCCCCCCCTCCCCCCCGTGATCACAGTAGCCTGGTGTCCCTTCGGGGGAACCACATGTCCCCTTCTGTCAGCCCATGTACTTTATGCCGAATTCAGCACCGGCTCCAGAGGAAGGACTCTAGCCCTAAAAGATATTCCACCTCACTCAAACTCAAAAATTTGACCCAGTCCTGGCCAATCAGAGGATGGATTTCCCCCTAGTTAGAGATTAGTTGAGGATTGGATGCATCGCCTAAGCCTGGCCAATCAGGGATTTGTTTAAAGAGAGGCACCTGACCCAAGGCGAGCCAATCAGAGTGAACCCTGGGACTTGCCCTGGGACTTACTACGAAGGGACCTTCTCTCTTTGGATGCAGAGCCGAGGTTGTTTACCTGGAACCGGAGAATGAAGCCAAAATGTAGAAGAGCAGAGCCCAGAGACAGAGACAGGATTCTGTTGACATTGAGCTCCTGATCAAGCTGTGCCTGAAGCTAGAGAGTCCCTGGCCTTTCAGTTTTATAAGCCAGTGCCTTCCCTTTTTTGGCTTAAGCAAAGTTGAGTTGGGCTCTCTGTCGTTTCTGAACCAAATAGCTCTGGCTTTTTTAGCTTAAATTTCTTGGCTTGGAATTATTGACCCAAAGGACACAAACATTTTTTTAAACCCCTTGAGACCTCCAGACAAATTGCCTTCCAGAGAGTTTATGCAAACAGTATCACGGTTTAGACAGCCTATCTTACAAGCATTAGCATATTAGCTTAAATTTTCTTACGGGCAGAAATTATGTGGTTTAATCTTATTTTTAGTGAGTGAAATATATTTCATCTTTATAGGCCATTTTTATTTATTTTGCGATTTTCTGAATATGAACAATTGCCTTTTTATTTTTTTTACTTTGTGAGAGCTCTTTACATACCAAAACCATTGATCCTTTTCCAAACTTAGCACCATTTCCCCCCAGTTTATTGTCTTCAGATACGTTGGTGTGTTCTGAGGTAGATGCAGTTTTAATTTTTATGTAGCCAGATTATTTTCAGGTATCACTTCTGCGGCTGTCATGCCTCCCAAATGCTTTCCGACTGAAGAGTGGGTCAACATGGACCAGATTTTCTTCTTTTTTGGCATTTACACACCCAGTATTACTCACCCTGTACTGGGAGAGCCATCCCATTGGAACTGCCCCGGAGCTTGCTAAGAATGCAGATTTCTGGGCCCCCCCTCAGAACCAGCATCTCTGAGAACAGGCTCTCGGTATCGCCCTGGTTAGCAGGTGTCACGGTGGTTGTAATGAACATGGAAGTTGGAAGGCAACCACTCAAAGGAACTAGAATGTTCTACTGTGTATGGTCTAAAAAGAGGACATAATTTTATTTTCCTGCTGAATAGACAGTTTCTTCAGCACCAGCCACTTGCCAATAACCCAACTTTCCCAGAACAGTCTGTAGGAAGAATTTTCTCACACTTGGAGTTACTTTAAAGCTGGAATCTGTTGGCCGGTAATGAGCTCACAGTCTCACAAGTGTCCAAGCCCTGGACCACCTGAGATCTTGGGGTCTCAGGGTCTGAACAGGCAGTCAGATGAAGTGACATTCCGTAAAGTACTTGAACCCCTGCTTTTTTCTCCAAATGCACTTGAACGCCTCTTTGCAGCTGACACGAAACCCAAGAAAAAGCACTTTAAACGTACAGGGTCGGGGCTGAGGCAGCTTTCTATTTGACAAAAAAAGCCAAAGGATAAACCCCGGCATTCTGGGACATGCCTGCAGCAGCATGGCCAAGCCCAGCACCCCGTCTATTTTGTGGCCCAAGCCCCTCGCGGGGGAGGCTGGGAGCTCCTAAAAGACCGGGCTGCCCATTGCAAATGCAGATTGATGGCCAGGCCACTGTCACCCCAGGCATCTGTTCCTATGGGTCCTCCTCCCTAAGAAGTGTGACAAAACATCTGGAGCAGACCTACAAATGCATGACCGGTGCACAGCATGCAGATGGCAGGGGACAGGAGGACAATAGTCCCCCCCCCACCCCCCCACCTTGGGCCCTTACAGGCAAAGCCAGGAAACCAGAGAACCAGGCTCTGGGCATATAAAGGGGTGTATGTCCGGTCCCTCCTGGGAGGTTAGACAGGGTGGGAACCGTCTTGCAGCCCCGTCATGCAGATGGGACACTGAAGTCCAGCCAGGGGGAGCTGGTGCTCAAGGAGGAACAGAGCCAGCTTAGGCATTTAGGATTTGCCATTACTCTAAAGCAGCGGTTCCCAAAGTGTGGTCCTGGAACCTGCAGCATCTGTATCTCTTGGGAACATGTTAGAAATCCAAATTCTAAGGCCTCTAAGACCCCAGATTGTGCCCTCAGAAGCTCCGGGAGTGGGGCCACACTCTGTGTTTTCACAAGTCTTCCCGATGATGGTTCGAATCTAAGAATCATTGGCCCGGCACATGCCCGCATTACAGGGAGAGTGATGGGATACTTTAGATCTCTCTGGAAAGCAGATGTCGTGGGGAGAGGGAGATCCAAGAGAGGTTAAGAAAGTGGGAGTCTCCCTGCAAGGGACTGAATGAGTCCTCCCACCCCAAATTCACATGGTAAAATCCTAAACCCCAGTGTGTTAGGAGGTGAGGCCTCTGGGAGGGGATTAGGTCATGAGGGTGGAGCCCCCCATGAGTGGGGAAAGACCCCACAGAGCTGCCTCGCTCACCACTCAAAGGCACAAGAAGATGGTTGTCTCTGAACAGGAAATGGACCTTCACCAGACCCTTCCAGTTTCCATAAGTGTGAGAAATAAATGTCTGTTGTTTAAGCCCCCAGTCTGAGCTTCCGTGATAGCAACTCAAGTGGACTAAGACACCCCTATGTGTGGCCTCTGGGTCCAAGGCTAAACCTCTTAGCCGGGTCCGTGGACCCCACGACGGTCCTGCAGTCCACCTTCTCAACTGCCCATCAGGTTCTTTGCGCTCCAGCCAAACTGGAAGCCCCTCCCCTCCTGTTCCGTTCCCTTTCTGAGCCCTCCCACGACCCTGGCCTTCTCAAATCTGACTCAAGCCCCACCTGAGATGTCCTCTTTGCTCCAAAGGCCTGTGAGATCAGATCTTGAAACCATGGTCTGTTCCCTCCTCGGTTCCCCTTTGTTTAAGCTGCTCGTAGAGATCTGGCCACGCTCAGCCTGATTATATGTAGCTTCCTTCATTGATTCAGCCACCCAGTCCTTCTCATGCGCCCACCCTCCCTCCCTCAGAGCCTCCCGTCCCCTCTCCCAACAGCACCTGGAAAACAGCGACCCTTGGTGTTCGTTGACTGCATAGCAGCATCTTTCCTGAAACTCTCTTTTGAGAGTTAACGTGCTGACCGCTGTTGCAGCTTGTCAATTGTTCTTAGCTGGCAACTCTTACCCAAACCGATAAACCGATGCAGACCTCCAGAGGTGAATTCTTTCCAGGGCTGAAGGGTTGCCAGGAGGATTTTACACCGCAACACAATAAAACCAAACCAGTGTCTTCCAGGTAGACCAAGCTCTCCCGACCCTGGCCTAAGAAGGTCAGACTCGGAGGGGACTCCCTTAGACACCCTCTTGCCCAGTCTTGCAGATAGAAAAGCAGCCTAGAGGGGGGCTTTGCCTGGCCTAGGTCTCTCTGAGAGCAGCATTCATTCCAGGCAGCTCTGGGACGCTCGGGAAGGCAGCAGGCACTGACTCGGTATTCAGCTTCCGAGAAGCAGTGATGAGATGCCCCCGATAGACAAGTTCGGTACCCCCAGTCTGCTGTGCTCCCCAGTCTGCTGTGCTCCCCAGTCGGCTGTGGGTGAGGCGAGCTCCCATGCATCCTATAGCTCTGGGTGGCTCTGTATGAGAGTTCTTGTGGTTCGGATGTTCCTAAAAGCTAGGCATCTAACCAGAGCTCTTCTTAGACAAACCCACCCCTGGCTGTGAGCCTGCAGCCTCCAACCTGGGACCTCCCACCTGACCGCTGCTTGCAACCCGGGAACCCCCCCTTCCCCAGTCCCAGCCTCCACGCCTGCTGATCCCCCAGGACAGAGAGCAGCGCTCCCACCCCCAGGCTAGCTCCTGCCCACTTCAGGGGCACTGTGGTGAGAAAAGGAGGCTGGACAGGAAGGAAGATGGTCATGATGCTGGCAGAGTCTGCATGGCCGCTGGCTGGCTCAGTTCGAGCTGGGGCACTCTGAAGTCTGGGTGCCTGGAAGGGGAGTTCTGGGGACCGAATCTTGATCCCTTGGGCGTTTCCTGAAGGATCTGGCGTATCTTCTGGGGTTCTTGAGACTATCCCCTGACCAGCATACTCTAGGTTCCATGAGCAGTGAGATATATCTCACTGTCTCCATTTTGTCCAACATAAATTCCTGGGAGGAAAAAGAAATCTCTCTCACCTGCCTGGTGCTTTGACATCCCTTCCCAAGGACCAAAGCACCATCGGAGGTTACCTACACTTCCATTAACTCTCACAAGTGCCCTGCAAAGGAGGTGGTATCAATGACACTTGGCCAATGTGCAAACTGCAGCTCAGAGAGGTTAAGTGACTTGCCTGGAGCTGCACAGCCCAGGGGTGGCAAAGCTGGATGACAGAGTCCAAGTCCTGGTGTGGCTTCCTGAATGTGGTTGCTTGCCTCTTTTTGCTGCTTCCTCCAGGAAGCCCACCCTGACTGCCCCCAGCCTCCCTCTCTAAGAGGCATTCATTTCTCAAGGACCTTCTACCTCAGCTCTTTACCTAGCACAATGCTGAGCACATGTGGGTGACTCAATAAGTCTTGGTTGAGTGATTGTTGCAGGAGACCCCTGGCACCCCTTGACATCACCGTGTAATTTCTTCCTTTTTCTTGGGAGGAAGATGAAATTAATGCGCTGTGACTATTTAGACAAATGTGCCCTTATTGAAAACAACATCATTCATATCACAATGTGAATATGAATAACATGAGTTGTGCCCCAGGGGATGCCAACAACATGAATGGTGTCCCTGGAGCCTTGCCGCGGAGCAGCCCTGATGCTGTCTGAGAGCTTGTGAGAAGTCCTTCTCAATAGAGAGGCAGGCTTGCTGACTATGGGCTGTTGCCACGGCAACCCTGGGGCAGGGACTCGCCCCTTTGGTGTTCCCGAGGAACTGAGCATCCTGTGTTTGAACATCGCCACTGAGCCTGCCTCAAGTGAGAGCAAGTTGTGACCTAGAACGAAGCCAGTACTGAGGATGGCTGACAGCAGAGCGTGGAAAGGATTAGTCCTGGCCAATCCAGGGAGCCTCGGGTCATACCATGCCTGAAACCCACAAAGGCCACTGAGCTTCATTCAGCTCATGATGCAGACATGCCCCTTGAGAAGAGTCAAACCACCTCAAAAAAGAACGGAGTTGGAGGACTCCCATCTCCCCATTTCAAAATTTACTACAAAGCTCCAGTAACCGAGACAGTGTGGTATTGGCATAGGATCGACATCTAGACCAATGCAATAGAATTGGGGTTCAGAAATTTACCTTCACATTTGTAGGCAATTGGTTTTTGACAAGGGAGAGGAGACAATTCAAGGGGGAAAGGATAGGTTTTTTCCAAAAGATGGTATGAGGACAACTGAATATCTTCATGCAAAAGAATGAAATCGGACCCCTATCCCATACTATATACACAAGTTAACTAAAAATGGATCATAAACCTAAATATTAGAGCAAAACTATAAATTTCTTATTAGAAAGCTTAGGTGTAAATCTTCATGACTTGGGATTATAGTTTTTGCAATGTGATGTGATGCCTAAAGACAAGTAACCAAAGGAAGAAAATAGCTCAACTGGATTTCATCAAAATTAAAAGCTCTTGTTCTTCAAAGGACACAATCAAATGAAAAGACAACCCACAGAAGGGGAGAAAATATTTGCAAACACATATATCTGAGAAGGGACTTCTATCTAGAATATATCTTAGAATGCAACAATTAAAAAACCCCCAAATAATCCAATTTAAAAGTGGACAAAGGATCTGAATAGACATTTCGTCAAAGAAGAGATACAAATAGCCAATAAGCACATGAAAGATGCTCAACGTCAATAGTCACCAGGGAAACGCAGAGCGAAACCACAGTGAGATATGACTTCACACCCCCTGGGATGGCTGAATTATGAAAGACAATACCAAGTGTGGACAGGATGTGAAGAAATTGGAACCCTCACACCTCGATCATGGGATTGTGAAATCATGCAGCCACTCTGGAAAACAGTTTGGCAGTTCCTCAGAATGTTAAACATACAGTTACCATATGATTCAGCAATTCCTCTCCGTGGTATCTAGCCAAGATAACGGAGCATTTATGTCCGCGCTAAAACCTGTACGTGCATGTTCATGGCAGCATTATTCACAACAGCCAAAAAACCCGAAACAACCCAGATGTTCATCAACTGGTCCACTGGTCCACACAGTGGAACATTATTCAGCCCTAAAAAGGAATGAAGTAGTGATTCATACTATGATGTGGATCGACCTTGAAAACATTATGCTAAGTGAGAGAAACCAGATGCAAAATGTATCTTTTTGGGGTGAAGAAATGTTCTGGATAGTAGTGATGGTTGCCCAGTTCTGACTGAACTGAAAACACGAAGTGTATGCTTTAAGAGGGGAAATGTTATGGCATGTGAATTATAGCCTAGTAAAGGTATTATTGAAAAGAAAAAAAGACGTGCTCTGTGGTCAGTAGAAGCCAGTCTGACAACACGTTCTCTGTACTGTGGCATCAGCATATGGCAGGTGGGGGGCTGGTCCTGGGGGGCAGTGAGAAGGGGAAGCTCAGGGGACTTAACCGAGAGTCTGAGGTTTCAACCGATGAGGCTCCCTTAGTCACCGAAATGTGTCCTCTCAGAGTGCACATGTGAGTGTAAATGCGTGACCACACCCGTGTGCATCTCCGTGTGTTTGCAGGTGCTTCTGTGTATGTTTCACGGGTATTGTTAGGTGTGTATTAAGCACATGAATGTCCATGTGAGTGTGTACACCGTGCGTGTGCACACGCGCGCGCGCGTGTGTGTGTGTGTGTGCGCGTGTGATGTACCAAGGTGGGGCCACAAAGACCGGGTAGGGCAGGAGTTTCTTTATACCAGCTTCTGATCCTGCCCCAAATGGGAGCTCATTACAAGTTTGTCGAGTGACTAATAGAGACCCAAGACCTACTGCCCCAGGAGTCCGTGTAGCCATGGAGGGGCAGGCTCATGGGGGCTAAAATGTGAATGCACCATGAGCTGAGGCTCAGGAGAGGCTGAGGCTGGAGACGAGGCTGGAGACCAGCCTGGGGTGGCAGGGACGCCTCACCTGAATCAGGTCGAGTTTAGAGAAGAGGCCCATGCTCTTGGGCGTGCTGTGGGCAGAGGGGGAGCACTGCTGGACCATGTTGTTGATGGCCTTTTGCAGGTAGTCGAGCAGCTGGTTCTGCAAGAGGAAGAGGAGCAAGAGGAGGAGGAAGAGGTTCTGGTCCTCTCCCAGCATCCCCCTGCCCCTCTCCCCAGCTCACTCAGGCCGGAGAAGCCACCTTCTCATCCTGCTCTGTGCTCCAATCCCAGAGGGCCTCGCTTGAGTCCCTCCCACCCCAGGGCCTGAGCATCCTCCCCTGCCATGACGGACACTGAACTAACTTCCTAGAGGGTCCTCCTAGCTGGAGGCACCTGTGGCCCACACCTGGGGCAGGGCCTGGGAAGGGTCATGGAGGAACCTGGAGCTCCTCACTCTGGGCAGCGCTGGAGTCCCAGACTTCAGGTCTTCAGGGCTGTGGCCAGCAGTGGCAGCCTTGCTTCCCATCTTGAAGAGAAAGATCCAGAAGGGGCTCTATAAACAGTGGCCAATCCACCCCCTCTCTAAACCCCTTGGCTGGAGGTCAGCAACATGTAGATCCCTAGCCTCATGTCTTCCAAATTAGGATTGCATGGGGACTGAGGAGTCCCTGCCTTTGCTGACCACACTCTGTCCAGGTGGAGTGTGCCCCAGGCCTTGGTCCTGGTGTCTTCCCAGCAGCCCCTACGGCTGGGAGGGCACGGGCTCTGGTTTTAGTGAGGACCCAGGGGCCAGAGGGTAACCAGTCCCCATTCCAAAGGCCAGGAAGGAACAGCTCGAGAGCTTAAGCCCAGAAATCCTGGCCCCTGGTCATGGACTTTGGCCATGACTTATTCTTTCTGAATATTATTTTTCTCATCTGTGAAATAGATACGGGTAGGAATCCACCAACATTTAGAAGTACCTGTCCTGGGTTAGGGGCTAAGCACTGCCTGTGATGGTCACAGAGATGTATGAATTACTGCAGATAGTGCATAATAACTCACTTAAATGCCATTGTTCTGTTATTAACCACAAGCATTACAGAAGGACTGGGTAAGCACCCAGCTATGCCAAGCCCTGGGACGGGACTGGGGATCCCAGCTCTGGTTCTTGGCAGAGCTTGTCTCTTGCCCCTCTGTGGCCTCAGTTTTCCCATCTGTAAAGTAGTTTCTGCCCCATCTTTGGGAAGCCCTTTGGAAGCAGACAGTCACCAACCAGGGCGAGGTAAGTGGGGCGTGTGTGTGAGTGTGTGTGGGGGTGATGCTTATTGAGGAGATGGCAGCCCCCAGCCCTGCCCCCACCCCACCCCCATCCCACAGATCGGACTCACATTAGAGCTGTCCATGTCCTTCTGGGAGGTGACACGGTGTCCCAACTGCCCCCACCACTTCTGCTCATGATGACACCGCCTTTGCAGCTGACACAGCCGAATCTTGAGGCTCTGCGATGGGAGAGGCTGCATCACCTGGGTGCAGCGAAGTCTGCTGGGGCATCTGCCCTCGGCCTAGTCCCGAGGAGCTCACTGCCCCGGGGCTGGGGAGGGGGGGCCTGTGCCATGATGGGGGTGAGCAGAGGGGAAAGGTCTGGGTCTTCTAGCTGTTTAAGGTACCAGGAAAGGCCTGAAAGGGCATGTCCAGGCTGACTGGGGTTGAATGTTGGCTCATTGCCCCCAGAGCCCCTTTTCCTCCTGTAACCAGAGCCCAGAGTCAGTGCCCTTGTGGATGGCCTCCCGTGGCCTAGCCTGCTCCTCACAGGGCTGTGCGGGCCGCACCCCACCGCGAGGCCCCATGGGGTGTGAGTTTGGACACGGGACATACACAGGTGTCCTCACTTTTCTGCGTCTTAGTCTCCTCCCCCGGAAAGTGGGAAGAAGAGCGCAGCTGGGTCTAAGGTGAGAAATTTAAGATGGGGTGGAAAAACTCAGCGTGTGCTTAAAATGAAGATAACTTAAGATAAATAATATCTTAATCCAATGTTTTTAAAAAATCAAAGTTAATACAAAGCATCCATGATGGACAAAATATTAAAATTTTAAATAAAGATGGGATCCAACCAGCACTTGAATGCTCACCTCACTCACCTCCCTTGTCTCAGGCCTAGGAATTAAAGCACTTAGCCAGGTGCTGGGGTGAGATTTAAATAAGATAAAGCAGGTAAACTGTGTCTCTCCCTGTCCTGCCCAATCAGAGAGAGTCTGGCTCTCCAGAGGGAAAAAGGTGCAAAGTCGTGTAGGTTTTCAGTGCGGCCACCAGGGGGCAGAGACTCGCTGCAAATATCACGCCCTGATCCTTCGCAAGAATCAACCCATCCTCAGACTTCCTCTCCTTGTCCCCTTCCCCTTCTTGGTCCCAGGCGCCAGCTGCAGCATGCAAATGCATCCTGCCATGCCTTTGCCTGGGCACTTTCTCCTGGCTGGAATGCCCGGCCCTCCTGGCAAAAGTTCTATTTATTATAAGATTAACCAAAAAGGAAAGAGCGGTGACTTCTTGGGGCACGCACTTTGGCACCGTTCCGTGTCTCATGACAACCTATGAGCTAGGTTGCATTGCCATTTGACAGGGAAACTGAGGCTCAGAGAGGGGTCACCCTTGCCCAGGGTCACGCAGCTAGTCAGAGAGTGAAGTGCAATTGGAACCCGGTCTGTTTGAATCTAGAACTCGTGGCTTTTCTACCACCAAGAACACCTTTTGAGCATAAGCATAAGTTTCAGGAGAAACCCCGAGTCAACCAGCAGACAGGGAGAGAAGGGGATACAGAACAAGGCTCTGGAGCGACAGGCCCACCCAGACCCTCTCTGCAGCCCACCGCTGCTTCGAGCCTTCCCCCCACCAAGGTGCAGAGGGAAGGGGGGCCCCTCTGTCCCCAGTCCTATGGGCTAAGGGCAATGGACGAGGCTGCAGATAGCTGTTACCGGGATAAGAGCCCTGTGGCTCTCCTCTAGAGACTCCAGCCTCTGGTGGAAGACCTGGTTCATCTCGGAGAAGGCCTCCAGATGCTTCTGGATGTCCTGGCTGATTGTGAAGAGCTGCCCATAGTGCTCCACCAGGGTCTCCACCAGGACCACCTCTGGCTCCTCTGTTTTCTCCCCTTCCTTGTGGCCTAGGGAGACAGTGCCATGGCGGAGTGGGTGGGCACAGAGAGCCCAGCCCTCACCTGCCCCTGCAGGGGTGATGCCAACGATGTGGATGGGACTTGTGCCGCGGCTCTGCAATTCCAGCTGCAGGCCCACAGCTGAGAGACGCCAGCCAACCCAGGCGGGGCTTAGCCCAGGACAGCAGGTGCCCAGCCCCCTCACCCACCACCGGCCTCTTCAATTAACATTTGAAAGGTCCCCTAGCAGCTGAGAACCCAGATTCTGGAGCCAGGAGGCCCAGTGAGACAGGAGAGAGTCCCCAAGGACCCGGAGCCTTCACCCCTCCTTGGCTTGGTGCTCAAAGCTTTTTGGTGCTGCTCAACCTTCCAGTCACCATCTCCCAGCAACCCCTGCCATGTCCTGGTGCTCCAGCCCACTGGAACTCAACATCCCCAAATTCACCATGCAGGGCTCTGGCTCCAGCCTACGTTGGTGCTGTTCCCTCTGCCTGCAATGCCGTTCCCCTTTGCTGGCCTCATTTGAGCCCCATGAGAGGCCTCTTCCGTGAAGACTTCTCTGACATCCAGGGCAGTTTGGGGGGTTCTCATCACTCCACAGCATTTAGTGCAGCGGCTCTGAAGTCAGACCAGAGTCTGAGACCCAGCCCTACCACTTCCTGGCTGGGCATTTTGGGCAAGTTCCTTAACCTCTCTGAGCCCGGGTAACACAATTCTCAGAAGCTCATAGAAAGGGGTACAAAAGATTTTCTAAAGAGGTTAGCACAAAGTTAGTTAATAGTCGTTAATAAATGGTAACTTAATAAATGATAATAGTTATTCTTATTATTGATGACGTTGAGATAATGATGATAAAAATTCACGTTTGACCCCCCCTTCCCTTTCCTAACAAGCTTCTGGCACTGACAAGAGTGGGCTCCAGGTCTCATCAGGATAAAACAAAACACAAAGCCCATTTTCTGGTGTCTGTGTAATTTTAGCTGATCATCGCAAAACAAAAAACCAAAACCAAAGACACACAAAATAATGGCAATCATAGCTAACATGTACTGGGTGTTAGCTGAAAGCCGGGCACCGCGCTACAGGCTCATGAAGGATCAGTTCATCCGATCTACATAATCGGTGTTGTTCCCCTTGTACAGATCAGACCCCAGCCCCTGGAGAACTTGCCTCCGGCCACACCAGCAGACTCACGGGGCAGGCTCATGCGGCCCCTGTGCCCTTTCTCTCGACTGTGGCATCGGCCTTTGTGGGTCCTCATTCTGCAGATGAGGTCAGGGCTCACACCGCGCCCTAGTCCCAAGGCTGGGAGGTGGCGGTGGAGACGAAGCGGCATACATACCCTTAGGGATTATCTCAAGGACCTTAATCAGATAGTCTTCAAAAAGCTTGTGCTTCTCGACCTCTCTCTTCAGCTTCCTCTGCCTGCAGAGACATTTCAGTGACAGCAAGACATGGTTTGGAGGACCCCAGGCCGTGACCTCTTGCAAGGCCACCCTCCATGGATCTCCGGCTCAGACCTGCACTGGGCACGTGCGCCACCCCCACCCCCATCAGCGGGCTGCTGACTTAAGCCTCTCCACCCCATTTCCTGCTGAGCAAACTGAGCCACAAACAGTTCAAAGAGCTGCCATGGTCAGGCGTGAGGAAGGAGCACCAGGGAGAGGGGAGTCCAGTCCTTCTGGTGTGGGGTGGGTGGGGGGTCTATGGAGCCTCCCTTAGAGGCTGGCCTGAGCACCCCCACCCCCGCCCACCAACCAGCTGGTGGCCTGGTTAGGTGCTTCACCTCTGTGCTTGGCCAGCCCATCTGTAGCGACAGTAACCTGACCCCCTCCCTCACAGGCTGGCCGGGATCATGCGTGGGGCGCCCAGCACATAGCGAGCACTCAGTCTGGGGTTGGGGACCCCAGCACCCCCAGGAGGGGAGACAACCACGTGCTGCTGCCCAGCCATGCTTGACTCTTAGGTGAGCCCTGAGCAAGCAGAGTCTCCAGTCGGTCGCCTGCTCTGTGCCCAGTCAAGGTCAGCAGTCAAGGGCAGAGGCAGAGTGGGACCCGCCCCGGTCAGCAGGACTGTGGTGGGCTCTGTGAGTGACTGCTCAGGGACCCAGGGCAGGCCTCTCTGCCTCTCAGGCCCCGCTTCTCATCCATAAGGTCCTGAAAAATGCAGGGAAAAACCATCTTTCCCCACAAATACCGTGTGGACCCTGCGCACCATGGCACCAAAACTTAGTGGGGTCAGGAAGCCCGAATAGAATCTGATGGAAGGGTTGGACCTTTTCTCCACAAAGTTGCTCACAGACACATCCTTTTGCATCTGATTCAGGCTTTTATGGGCAGCCTGAAACTGACGGGCTGCCCGGAGGGAGACCCCGGTCTCCCAGGTCTCCACTCCGAGGCGGGGGGAGGGGGGACAGCCTCGTGGGTTGACTTTAGAGGGGCTGAGCTGACAGGTGCAGGGGATGGCCACCCCAGCCCTGCCTCCAGGATGGGAGACTAAGCCCACGGAGGGCCTGGGAGGACCCAAGGTCTGAACTCGGGGAGCTGGAGCCAAGCCCCCCACCCCCTCCCCACAGGCTGCCCCTCCTGTTTACTTCCAGGGATTGCTCCCGTCCTTGTGCCTTCCCTGCCTGGCCCTCAGGGACGTTTGCTCAGTCCCAGCCACCTAGTCCAGTGAGGACGCCACTGGGCCTGGGGCAGGGGCACAGTTGAGCCTGGGACCTCTCGTACTTTGCCTGGAGCTCGCAGAGTTCCTGTAACAGCACCTGCAGGTCCCTGTCCTTGTCGCTGCTAACGCTCCAGCCAGCCCCCTGGCTGTCGTCCACGGCCACCAGCATCACCCCTCACCACCCCAGCTGCGCGGGAGGACGAGGGCCACTTGGGCCAGGCGGGAAAACTGGTCAGCACTTTCCCGACTTTCCCAACAGCCTCCGGAAACCAGGTCACGTTCCCAGTTCGTGGAAAAGGAAACAGAGGCTCAGAGGGGGGGCCTGTGACCAGCTCAGGGACACACAGCAGGACTGGATCTGGACTTGAGGCTCACTGAAGCCAATGTCTGGGGTCTTCCAACAGGTGCTGGTTTCTCACAGCATTCAGGAGAGAGCCCCCAGGGTCAGGGCTGGGGGCTGGCTCAGAAAGCAGTGTGCATGGGGCGGGGACACCTTGGTGGCCTATCCTACCCACCAGCCCTCCACCCATTTATGCATTCAGTGACATCACATACTCTGAGCGTGTAGAGAGCTCATCAAAGGAGCATGGAGGCCGGGGCAGACACTTTGAATGAGCTCATGGTCAGGCTGGGAAGGTGGCCTAGTTAACAGGTAGTTTCCACACGGCCTGGCAAAGAGCTCCTGGACCATTTGCCTAAGTCTGGTTCCCGGTTATGGCCCAAAGGAGAAGAAAGTCTCCCTAAACCTGCCATTCATTGGCCATCTGCTGGGCCAGCCACAGCACAGGGGCGGAGCAGGGAGAGAAGGGGAGATGTTGCATGGTCAGTGTCCCCAGCCCTGAGCATTCAGACACTGGACATGAGCATAGGGAAGGAGGAGGGGGCCCAGCTGACTCATTCACGGCTCCCGGAGCTCAAAGCCACCGCCGCCGGGCTGTGACATCATAATGCTGGCCTCTGTCCTATGATGTGTCCATTGTAGGACCCACCTGTGAGTGGAGGGCCACCTTCTCCGTGGCCTACTCCTGCCTCCCTGGTTCAGTTCCCAAGGACAAGGGGGAGAGGCATCGGTGACCCCAGGGCGGGGGGGTCTCAATTTTTTGTCCTTTCTCTCAGGCTGGTCAACTATGGGCAAGGTAGAGGTCATTCTTAAGGCCCCCACTTTGTGGGCTCCCGAGACCCCGCTGGCCTGTCCCAGGACTCTCCCTTTTACCTCCTTCTACCTGATTGTGGGTGGTTGTAGCTCGAGGCCTTCCCCAGCGAGGGCGCTCAACAACCCAATAAAGCTCAGCTCTGCTTGTGGCTCAGAACCACACCTGGCCCAGGGCAGGGGAGGGGGCAAGGTGAAGGAGGCTTCAGGTCCTCAACCTGGGACCTGCCCCTGCCTTCTGGCTGGGCCCTGGTACCTGCTGTTGGAGCTGCTGGGCCTGTGGCATTTGGGGGAGCTGGGCCCGGTGCCCACCCCTGTTACCCCAACTAGCTGTCCAGGCCTTCCCCAACAAAGGCCCCCATTCAGTCAGAGCCCCTGGGCAGGAGCAGGGATTGGGGCCTATGCCGGGACACACACATCAGCAGGCCATGGAGTCAGTCCCTGCCTGCCCAGGAGTCCCTGAGCAGGTCTCAAGGGAGCTGTCTCTGTCTGCCCTCCATGGTTCTAGAGCCTCTCAAACATCTGATGAGCACCAACCGAGACATGAAGGTTCTGGCCTTGGGTTCATGCATTGGGAATGCTGGTACACACAGATGTCTGGGGTTCAGGGTTGCCCAGAGAGTCAGAACTGGCCTGGGGGGGTGCCGGGAGGGTGGGAGGAGGGCTGGAAGAAGTCCCCCGCAGAGTTGGCAATGTCTGAGGTGGTTCCTGAGGATAAGAAGGAGCCAGGAAGTCAGGTGGGAAGCGTATTCCCGGCGGAAGAAACAGCTGGGACCAAGGTTCACAAAATAGCATCCGTGGCCTGTGGGAGCTATAGGCAGATACTTAGAGGTGAAGGTCAGGGAGGGGGTGGTGTGGCTGCCGCTGGAGAAGCCATCAGCAGGCACCAGGGTGTGTGGGCCGGGCTCTCCAGTTGCCTGCAACAGAAACTAACAGGCTGCTCTGGGCAACAACGGCATCCGTGGAAGGTAGGAGGGAGGCCACAGAATCAGAAGAGCTGAAGACCCAGGCCCGGGGAACCCAAGGGCTCAGGGCAGCCCTGGAGATCCAGGCAGCAGGAACTCAGGGGGATACCTCTCCAAATGAACCCTCCCCTACACCTCGCCATCAGCCCCTCCATCCCCAAGAATCAAGGTCCTTAGAGAAGTCACCCAATTGGCTGAGACTGGTCATGGGTCCGCCCCTTTGCTTAGACTGACACTCACATCATAGGCGCTGCTTTGGGGGCTGGAAGTTTCCCAGAGCAAATCCCAGGCCCTTTGGCTGGAGGCTGGGCAACGGAGGCTGAGCAGGTGCTCAGCACACGGAGGCTCAGGGAAGCCCAGGGAGCTTGGGCTTTATCCTGAAGACAACAAGCCGCTGGAGGGTCCCAGCTGAAGGAGTGGCCTGGTCAGACTGGCATTTTGGAGTGTGCCCTCGGGCTCAGAGTGGAGGTCAGCCGAACATTTGTCAGGACACTTCTAATGTCATGTGGCATGCCACGAGGTCAGAGCTGTTCTTTCAGAGTGGGGAAACTGAGGCCCCGAGAGAAACTTGCCCAAGTCCTCGCTGTTGGGAAATTGCTGAGCTGAGCTGTTAATCTAGAAAGTCCCAGGAGGTTGGGTTGCTGGAACTTGGATACTGATCCAGTGGGGATCCCACAAGCCAGGACATACGGTGAGGGGGGCTGCTCCCGGAAAGACCCCATTAGTGCCTCTGGGCGTTGCATCTTCACCCGTCAAGGGCAGACGCCTGCCCCTCCCCCCGGCCCTAAGCAGATGCGGGAACAGCCTGGCCAGACCTCCTCTCTCCCCGGGGCTCAAAAACCCTAGGACCGCGTCTCCCTCTCGTTTGGGGCCCTAAACCACTGGACCCAGTATGGCCACAGGCAGCAGGGGGGTGTGGGGAAGGTGGGACAATTTACTTCCCAGTAAGGATTTTATTTTTGGCCTCAAGTGTCGCGCACCCACATAAGGCTGGGAGACAGACTGCGGCGGCTCTGGGAGTATTTCTCCCTACCAGCCCCTAAAGAGCTATTCTGCCATGATTACCGGGGATTGACAGCTATTTTGGATCTACTGCTGCCTGGCACTTTGCCTGGAGTCTCTCATTTACTTCTCAAAAAGCTCCTCCAAGGTCGTGGAAGCATGGCTCCATTTTTGCAGAGGAGAACAATGAGGGTCTATGGGGCAAAGGAACTTGCCAAGGCACCTGGCTAATAACTGGTAGCAGGATGGGCTCCATAATTCGTGGAGCCTAGTGTGACCTGAAAGTGATGGGCTCCTGATTTAAAAAATTAAGAATTTCAAGACAGCAGCGGTGGGACACAAAACCAGTTATGGTCCCTTCTGAGCGGGGGCCGGGTGCATAGCTGCTCCGCAGGGATTTGACCTCATGCCTAGAGATTCCAGAACCTATTAGTTAACTCTACCCCTGCTCCTTTCCAAACTCCACCCCCTTGTCCGCCTCAGAGCCTCTGCTGGGCTCTGGCTCTTCCTCTTCTCCCCCCAACCCTACCCTCACCCAGCAGGCTGTAGACCCCACCCTTTCCCGATTAGGGGAAGACTTGGAGGCTGCCAGGAACTTTAGACCACAAAAGAAGATCCAGGTGGAGAAAGGCAGAGGGATGCACCTGGTGAGGGGCCAGGTCTCAGACCCCCCAGATCTCCTCTCTCCCCTGGACTGTGGGGGAGGTAAATCCAAGACAAGGCTGTCTGTTCCAGAAAGCTGGGAAACTTGGGACCTGGGGGTATGCTTCAAGGGCAGAGACACAATTAAAGGGCAATAGAACCCCATTTTTTTAAGCCTTAGCAAGGACTCCCGGGGCTGGAATTTGACCCCAGGGCTTGCGTCTCCCAGTGCAGCAAAGGGATGGCCAGATCAGGCCTTCGGCCCAGAATTCCAACCCTGCCTGCCCTGCAGCCCCCAATGTCCCCAAGAGGGACAAGACCAGCCCTTAGCCAGCCATAGGTGATGCTCAGGATGCAGAGTGAGGCTGTGCAGCCAAGCAAGGCTACCACCTGTGTGACCTTAGGAAACGTACATAACCTCTCTGAGCCTCAGATACTAACAGGCTCCTGGGCGGCTCAGTCGGTTGCGCATCTGACTCTTGATTTCAGCTCAGGTCGTGATCTCAGGGTCCTGAGATCGAGCCTCATGTCAGGCTCCGCACTCAGCATGGAACCTGCTTGAGATTCTCTTTCTCCGTCTCCCTCTGTCCCTCCCCCACCCCCGTGTCATGCACTTACTCACTCTCTCTCAAAATAAATAAATAAAATCTTTTTAAAAAAGTAAATAAATGTAAAGTGGAGGTAATTACAGTACCTAGAATGAAATGACATAATCTACACAGAACGCTTAGCTTCATCTCATTTTTGTAAAAAAAAAAATGCTGTGCGTGTGTGTCTGTGTGCGTGTGTGCATAGAAGAAAGTCTAGAAGGCTATGAATGAAATTTGTAGGCCTTATTTTAGGGGCAGGAGATGAGGGCAAACTTTCCTACCACCGGAACTCTGAGAACAGCAAGCGCCTGGCACATAGGTGTTCAGTCAGCCTTGGTCTTGATTCCTGGTCCTCCCTCCTCACTCCCTTCCAGTTACAGTGGTGGTGACCCCCTAGCACAGGACCCTTGCTAAGAGCCTCGCTGCTGGGGTTGGCTGGCAAAGTGACTTCAGGGAAGGGGCGCAGTGTGTGTGAAGCCTGGGTGTGGCTGTAAGCAGGGGTGGGGGGTGGGGGTGGCTCTGGGTGGGGGTGGGCGCAAGGAAGACAAGCATGGTCTAGTAATTCTGCCTGAATTTTGCCAAGACCCGGCACTGCTTAGCGTCCCCCCCCCCTTACTGAGCTAGGACCTCAGAGCTCTGTTCCTATCCCCTGCCCCCCACCCGAGGGACTGAGAAGGCAGAGAACCAGAGTAGCCCAGGGCCCAGGAAGCAGTTCGATGATGGCTCTTCCTCTGAGACCCCCAGCCCGGCTTCCGCCCTTCTCCCTGCCCTGCACCCAGGCAGGGTTCAAGTCCCAGAGCAGGGGAATTACCCCAGCAGG